GTCTTCAGCCATGGCCTCTCTAGCCCCATTCCTCAATGGTGTGAGTGGCCGCCTTGCTCGCTCTATGCCACAGCTAGAGGACGAAGCATCGGCTACCGACCTGCGCAAAGAGATGAAGGAGGAAAAGGAACAAACAGAATCAGAAACAGTCAGACAGATCAAGATAGAAGAAGAGGTTAGGGTTAGGGTTAGGGTTAGGGTTTACCTGTGCAACCAGAGCCTGGTGCTAGAGAAGACGACGACCTCCAAGAGAAGACGACACACCGTTAGCAAGGACAGCGAGCGGCGGCGGAGGGAAGACAATAACAAGAACTCACATAATCACCAAAAACTAGAGGGGTCGAGGGGAGAGAGGGAGGGTATCAGGGAGGAGGAGAAGGGAGTGGCTCGATGGCGGTAGGCAGATCAAATCGAGGTCACCGGAGTTAGGGGAGGTCACCAGAGACGGCGAGGCAAGAGCGAGAGCGACTCGAGAGGGCGGAGCGGCGTGGGTGGGTGCCTGGGTGGGGAATGAGATGACCGAATGATTTAGGGTTTGGTGAGGGAGAGGAGAGGGAGTCGGCGCTGCTTATATACGAAGGGGAAGGCGGAGAGCAGCTGGGCTGTCGCCTTGGGCCATGGGGGAGAGGGGGAGGCGGAGAGCAGCTGGGCCGTCGCCTTGGGTTGTGGGGAAGAGGGGGTGATGGGCCGCTGTCAGGCCGACCCTAAAAAGCCGGGCCATGCCGTGCTAGACCACGGGCCTGGGGTACGGCCCAGACACGGCCTGCTGTACCAGGCCGGGCTAGCCTGAGCCCGCACGTCACCGGGCTGGGCTGTGCTCGTGTCGGGCTAAAAAAGCGAGCTTTGTGCCGTGCCGTCGTGCCTCGAGCTGCATGGTCATTTATACATGTAGGATTGAAGCAGAGGTTGTAGCTATTCCAATGATTCCCCTATCAGATGAGGATGAAGATATCATGGATTAAGCTCAACGTTGTTGTGTTCGCTTGCGCTAGTTTTGTTCTAGCTTAGAGTAGATGGTTTCAAGAGTAACATTGTTGACACTAACTGTGGCAAATAGGTAAAATTGTAAGTGCACGGTTGTCAAAAGTAGCTTTCACCTAGGAGTATTCCAAGGTATCAACGTGAGTGTTCTACTAAGAATCAAGTTCGTCCTATGACAACAAGGTGTTTAAGATATGGGTAGAGAGAATCTTTATGGTAAGGATATTAGATCAAGGAAGAGATTACTAAGATTGTTCACTTTGGAGCTCTGTTTCGGTCAAGCACCGTAAAAGATAACTTGTGTTGTTACATCTTCGGGCCCTACGTTTTAAGAACTTTCCCAAACACGTGGTTAACCCTTGGCAAATTTAACCGAGAACCGAAAACCAAATCGAAATAACTAGAACCAAAATTGAAAGAATCAAAACCAAAAAATTCAGTTATTAGTTTGGTTCCTGTTTCCTGGGAACCAAAATTTGTTGGGTTAATTCGATTCTCTACCTCGGTTAACCGAAATAACCGAGATGTTGAAAGAGGCCCATCAACAAATGTGAAGCCCAGGCCCAAGTAAACCAACCCCACGTATATAGAAGCAAATGTCTCTTTCCAATCCCCAATCCCCCACATCCGCACGCTTGCTCTCAGGAAGTCGCCGCTCCTACTCCCGCATCCCCATGCTCGACGGCCCTTCATGGCTTCACCTTCGTCATGACACCACCCCCGGGCGCCCCTCTGCCTGGACTCCAGAGGTTGAGCCGGCGAGCCGCCCCTCTGCCTTCGCCCGCCTGGAGTCCATCACCACCGCTGCTTCCTGTGCTTGCCTGAAACTTGAGCCACCGCCGCCTACGCCTAGAGTCCAGCCCCGGCGCTCCTATGCCTGCTTGGAGGCCTCTTTGCCACCGCCGCTGCTTACCTAGAGTCCGGCACTAGCGTCGCCAGCCTAGAGTCCTCTCCACTACTGTTGCTGCCTGCCTGGATCTGGGCCCTAGGATCGACTGCTCTCCGCTCGCCGAGGAGGACCGAATCTAGAGTGATTTTTTTGCATTTTTTTCTGCTGAACGTGGGATGATTTTTGGATTTTCTCTCCATGTGTTTCATTGCTGAAATCTATGGCTCGGGAACCAAACTAACCGAGACTGAAATTCTTCAGTTCCTGATTTTTGAGCTAACCGATTGGTTCTCAGTTTGCTACTAACCGAATTTTGCAAGTAACCGAGGAACCGAACTGATCGGTTTTGGTTAACCGAATGCCCAGGCTACACGTGGTGGAGACTACCAGACTCGATGCGGCTGTCACCACCCACTAGCTAACACACATCCGAGGAGTAAGCCGCACACATTGGTAAACCATAGTCTAAGAACCACACTTACGCTAACGATTACTGCTCTAATCTAGGTATACCAGAGATAGACTAGAGCATTCAAATAAAGAGCAAGGTACCAGTGTATAGAACATTAAACTCAGAGCCTAGATGAGGGAATTATGGTCCTAGGAAAAAAATCCAGCAAGTAGAGTTGGGATAACCGACCTCTGAGGTAGGAATAGCTGACTTTGCTACGCTAACCTTTAGATAGTCTCCTAAAGTGCCAAATTGCATAAGGCGACCTTGAGACAGGTTTAACCAACTTGGCCTATCCAGAACCGCATTGATGCTAACACCGATTTGGGTGATTATTGAAGGAATTCCATTATCAATTATTTACATGATCCAAGCACTAACAAAGTTGATAAAAGTGTTCAGTGTGTTGCATTTAAATATGGTTTGATCAATGATGAGCTCTATCGGCGAACCAACAAACATTTGTTGCTTAAATGCTCGGATGTTAATCAAGCTAGAGTGGGTATGGGAGAAGCCCATGAGGTGATTAAAGTGGTGATTGGGAATTCATATTTAATGGAGATGTTGCAAGGTGATTGTCTCCCAAGAGCACTCAATGGGAGGTACTTGAGGAAGTATTTTTCAAGTGTTTGGTAAGAAACTTAAGTGTTATTCAAACAATGGCTGATATACAACATTGCCCTTAGAAAAATGGCCAATGAATAGTTGTTGACCATCACCCTTAGGCTAAATTGGCTTAGAAGAATGTTTTTAGTATTTAAGCTTCACTAAAAAAATAGGAGGCCATATATTGACACATAAAATTAACCAAGATGGAACCAAGGTAGGAAAGTTAGCCTAGCCGACTTTGGCACTATCATGGGCTGACAAGACCAAAGTTGCCTAAGCCTATCTTCAAGTCAGCTAAGCCGACTTTGATGAAGTGAAGTTCTCAAAATGCAAGTTAATTAAACTTTACTATTGTGTTTCTCTCACCGAGATGGTAAAAAAACATATATAGAGCATCAAATTCAGAATCTAGAGATGAGTATTACAACTCCAAGAAAATTACCCCACAAAAGTTGGGATAGCCGACTTTGCCAAGAAAGTTGATATAGTCAACTTTGCCACGAAAGTTGGGATAGCCAACTTAGAAGTTTGGATAGCGACTTTGCCATGGAAAGTCAGCTAAGCTAACTTTGAGATGGGCTACACCAACTTTTTGTGGGTTTTGAGTTCAAAAACTAGGAAACTTGTGGATTTCGATCGGCTGGGAAGGTTTTTCTAGTGGGATAGGACCACACTCTTTATATATAAGAGGATTACGGTCGGTTGAGGTATCCAACACAATGGAAACACAAACCAATCTACTCATCTCTACCTCTCTTTTGCCCTAATTTCTTCCAACCCCATGTTGATGTTCATCTCTTGATCCGACAACTAAAGATGGTGTCCAAGGCTTACTGAATGACCTAGGCTAACCTGGTGACATCCTTGCCTAGATGGAGTCCCTCCCGAGCAAGAGGTTCAATGACTCCTTTGCTAGTTTGCCTGGGATCTGGCCGCTCTTTATCACGTAAGTGCTTTGATTATCCTTTGCTAGTTTGCTGGTAAACCTTACTATTCTTCACCATGTAAGTGTGATTGATATCATTATCTAGGTGAAACCTGGGGAATTTCTGATCTAATCACGACTAGTTGACAAAGCCGACTATACAGGCTTTTCAGCCCTTCCAGATCCAGATATCGTCCAAGCTGGCTCTATGATTGGCTAGATCGACCATGTATGCCTCTGCTGCAACGTTCTTCGTTCCATGTGGGACAGATACTCACATCAACAGTTTGACTCAATCCAAATCCCAAATTGCATCATTTTTGGGATGGAGGTATTAGAACCGAAAACCGATCTGATGCCGTAGAAATCAGCTAGAAACGCTAGAAGGCTCGTAAGCTTTCCTTAAAGAAATCACTTTTGTTTCCCAAAAATTTGAATGAAATAGATCGCCGGCCCTCACATCTGAGACGATATATCCAAAACACTCAAATTGATGTAAATTCCCTTTATCAATCACAAGTTTATGCTATTCCATCTTTTGTGAAAGAGAATTAGAATGCTTGAGCGAAAAAAGATGCTCCCTAAAATTAATTCAAACTTAGTTACCTCCAGATTGTTATCAATTTTTTGGAACTTCTGAGATGGCTTGCATACATTATTACTCTCTCCATCCTAAAATAAATAACTTTTAAAAAAAATTTAGATAGATTAAGGACGTTGACAAAAGCCGCATATAAGCTCATATTCTTTCCTATCACAAAGGATGCATGTCTCATATCTCATAGATTTGGGCATGCATTTGTGATTAGCGTCCACATTAGAATGCGGCGTTTCATGTTTTTGTGGAATGTTATTTTTTTCGACAGAGTTTATATCTTAGAAAATTATTTATTTTGAGACAGAGAGTCTGCATCACATAGACGGAGAGAGTACATCACATAGACCAACTAGTAGCTAAACGATGGCCGCCATAATTACCATGCATGCCAAATAAAGTCAAAGCAGAAACTAAAATTAATTGAAACGGAACAAGCTTATTGGACTGAATTACTAGCTGATAGCATAGCAGCAATGCAAGCCGCATGGACCAGATAGTTGAGCGTGAGCTTGCATGGCTTTATTATTAGGCAACTTGGTGACAGGATCTAGCCGGAGCTGTTCACCACCCGGCAGTTCCGGCGGACCTCGCCACTGGTGCCGACGCCCGGTGCAAGCCTCCCCATCCGCAGCATGGACTCCGCGAAGTCCTGGAAGAACACGGAAGCGTCGAAGGCATAGATGGCGACGAGGCTAGCGACGTCCGCCTCTACCCCGGGCACGGCACCGGCACCCGACGACGACGACGCTAGCGCCTGGTCTGACGGCAGCAGGCCGTCGCCGGAGAGCAGGTTGATGTAGTACTGGTTGTCGAAGGTCGCTGGGGTGGCGAGGTCCAGGTGCGCCAGCGCCGATCCAGCCGACCCCGTGCACAGCTGCTGCAGCGACTCCAGGAAGGTCAGGTCCTTGAACGCGCCCGCGCCGCCTTCCGAGACGCCGCCGGTGCCGGCAAGGCGCGCACTGAACGAAGTGCACCGCGCTTTCCCGATGGTGTGCGCGCCTGTGTATACATTCATGTGAATTAGTATTTATTTAGTCTGCACGTACGTATACATGTGTGCCGAGTATACATGTATCATGTATGCAGATATTCGTCAAGAGAGACCATGTATGTGTCATGTAATTACCGGAGAGTGCGACCATGTCCTTGGCAGAGAGGTCGACGTTCCTGAACTTCTGCACGAGGGTGGCGATGCCAGACGTCGGTGCTGGGAGGTTGATGTTGGCGCCCTGCAGGCTGGCGGTGCGGCTGTCCTTCCGGCCGACCTCTACCTCCCAGCTCGGCCCGCCCGACTGAACCGGCCGCCGGACAATTTAATGATGATTGATGATGCAACAAACGATGATCACTCACTAGAACATTCTTTTTTATTTGCACAAGACTTCAAAAGACGTGACTGAGAAGAAGCTAAGTGTCCTGAACTCCTCTCCTGATCGATCAATGCATGCATATGTATGCTAGTACGCCCTTACCACCACGACGGAGTCACGGGCAGCGATGGCAAGGAGGTCGGCACAGGAGACTGTCTCTGGGCACTCCTGCTCCAGCTCGGCCTTGATGGCGTCAACGACCTCGAAGCCCCTGAGCGAGTTGGCGTTGGGCACAGCCGTCTTCTCGCCAATGAAGAACGGCTTGTCGTCCAGAAGAATGGAGCCGTCACAGCCCTGACAGATTAAAACAGCATGCAGCCAAGTCACATAAATAAATAAATAAATAAATAAATAAATATATATATATATATATAATGCAGATCGATCGACCGTGTGTCCATGTGTGTGTGATGTGTGGATGGTCGAGTTGGACGAGCTAGCTCGCTTGATCAACTCATATTACGTTGACGAAGCAGTCGTGGAAATGGAGGCGCAGGAGAGACGCTGCCATGCGTGGGTCGGTAGCGACGGCCCTCTCGACGGCCGCACGGACGACCTCCTCGGCGCGGGGGCAGGTGGTCCGGTACGCGTCGGCACCCAGGGACACGCCAGCGCCGGCGCTGGCTCTTGCCCCGCCGTAGCCAATGCTCACACTGGCGCCGGCGCTACCGGTGACGCACGACTTGTTTACGGGGGTGGAGACACTGGCCGAGGCAGCAAAGGTGAGCGCCACCAGCACGACGACGACCAGCAGGTGCAGGGCCAAGGTGGTGGAGTGAGCCATGGCATGCAATGGCTGGATGCTGGGGCACTGACGCAAAGAGCTAGAGCTATAAGCCGTCTGTGCTCGCTGTTTTTGTGGTAGAGACAGGGAGAGTTCTTGATGACCTTATGGGTTCTTCCATGAACATCTTTATATAGGCCAACAACAGGAGATCGTCTCTGTGGTGTGATGAAGCCACAGAGAAAGCAGTCTTTTTTTTTTGGCTTTAAAGGGCATGTGCTCTCCTGCAGTACATTGTTGGACTTGGATGTGTACATAGATGTGTCTTCCGTTGTCAGAATTGTGGGCGTGTTTGGGGTGTTTCTCGGCTCTGTGACTGTGTGTATAGCCGACTCAGAAAATGCATGCATGGCATCCTTGACCTGGTCACATATACAGGGAACAATGTTAGATACGAATACGATGATGGTTGGAGTTGGCAGGCTGAGCAGCTAAGCCGGTGCATGCGCAAGCACGAAGGGGTCAAACTTGTGAAACATAGCTACGGAGCACATGCATGGCAGTAGCACTGACCCAGTGTGTTCGAGAGGTACGCGCAGTAGGTGAAACTGTTGTACGACCTGCATGACAGGTGGTGAAACCGTCGGACGGACGCCCTAGCTCTGTGAGAGATCGACTGTGACCTCCGTAGTGCTCAGCTTGTAACAGCACCTAGTAGTTGCATCGGATAGGATCCACGCACAGTTTAAATCTACAATGTCAATACCAAAGATTTTATCCATATAATATAGTGCATATATGCATGATAATATGAATGTACTATCTCGGCATAACCAAAATCTGCAACTTCTTCTAGGGATATGTGGTTCTCCTATTGTTTTAGCATTCAATATTTAGTATAAGATTTTCCTATCAAATGCCTTCTAGTGAGGATTTTCATATGCTATGACTAGTTGTATTATTTTATTAATACTTAAAAATACTAATAGCACTCCATCATTTTGGTAGTGCGAGACTCGTATATCAGCTAGCTCTGATAGTCCTATTTGGAGCAACATAATAAACCATCTTTTCTCCAGCTACCCCACGACAGCTAGCCACTTAGCATAGAAGAAGCTAGTTCAAGCCAGCAGAAACTTACCATTTAGCGCATCAGGTTTTTCTTGACCTCCCATGGTGGCTTCCACAGCCTGATCTCTACGATGAAGACACATCAGACCTAGGGGCAGGTGGGAGGAGGGGTCACGGCTTTGGAGGCTTGGAGGCGAAGAGGAAGACCGGTGAAGGGAGGAGCTCAAACTTTTGGAGGACGACCAATGAGTGCAGCGCAAGTGGGGTGAGTGGGTGAGGGCAGCACAGGCAGGGCAGACGAGGGAGGTACAGGTGGGACGGCGCGGGGGGGAGGCGTGAGGAAGACGAGAGAAGCTATAAAAACTGTATAGGTTTTGGGGCTTATTGGTTTCATAGTAAAGGAGGGAGAAGCGCATGGAGAATAAGCCCACAATAAATTTTGTGTTTGATTCTATTCAGGCTTTTTTCACGAAGAAGCTGGTCCAAAAGCATTCCAAACAAAGACATTTTCTTTCCAAGTGAATTTTTTGGTAGCTATGATAAAAATAGTATGGCTTGAAACTTTCATTTCTTAACCCTTCTTGAATTAGGGGCTTCATGAATGTGTTTTCCTAACAGATGTATGAAGTGCATGACATAAGAGTATAAGACTGCTTGCAACCATAATCAATGTACATGAAAATACTGTAAAGGAAGTTCTATACGAAAAAATAGCAAGGGCAATTCTCTTATTGAAAGCATCTAGGCCCCTAGTTGGGTTTCGGTGATTAATGACAATACAATATTACTATGACTAACGTGTGTTTTGCAGAGGCAATTAAGTTAGGTCATGATAATGGAGATCCATGGTGGTCATGCCCCTACGATGGAAATCGTTTCGGTTTTCAAAGGATGGACGTCAAGGTTAAGGATGACTAGTTCTAAGTGTCGATTGGAGTTGGAGAGACACTTAGAGTAGTTTAGGACTTTGTTTTTCCTTTGGCCGTACTATTAAGGGGGGTATGGACGGGTAGCTTGACCTAGGTGAGTCTAGTGAGTTAGGTGTGGTGCACACTTGTTGAAACTAGCACTAGGTAGCTCCAAAATAGCACTTAGATCCAATGGAGCAAACTTCATTCACATATGATCGAGAGTTGGAAGTGAATGGAGGGTCAAATATTGACCGGACGCTGGCTCCGGTTTGACCGGACGCTGGCTTAGGTCCCATCACTTCATTTGACCAAGGTGATTGCGTCTGGCGTGACCGGACGCTGAGAGGTCATGTGACCGGACGCTGAGAGGCAGCGTCCGGTCGACTCCAGTAAGGTTCCAGAGAGGGAAAATCATGACTAGACGTGTTCGTCCGGTCACACTGTAAACATACTAGAGTTCAGGGTATACTGACCGGAGCGTCCGATCAACATGACCGGAGCGTCCGGTCACCCTACAGAGGCACATTGTAACACCCTAGGTGTTTGGCTTCCACTAATTGCATTTCATTTCATAAACATGTGCATCATCTATCTCATCATGCCATTATTACTGAAACATGCATATGCAACATTTTCAATTGTGGAGTTTCATACTTGATTGCTTAGAATGGTAGTAGTGCAACATGTGAATGTAACATGAATTTCTCATACTTTGAAACATGGCAATATGGTAGTAATGTGACAATTATAAAATGACAACAAAGTCATGAAACATGTGAAACATTGCATTGAAACATTAGGGTGAATTGCTTGTTTTGTTGTTTCATCACATGTGCTCATTTGAAATGGTATAACAATTGTGTAAGGTGGTTGATCATGGTCTAATACACCTTAACTACAATTAGGGTAATTGTTTGGACATTGTTCATGTAGATCAAAATGACAAAAATGCCCCCAAATGGAGGTTTGACTTGAATTGACCCTTAGAGTGCCATAGTTTGACTAATTCAAAAGACCAACTTAGAGACTTTGCATGGCTATGCACTCTTTACCAAAGTTGTAGCTAATTTATCAAGGAACAAAAGTTGTTTTATGATCATCTCATGAAAATGGCTAGAACATGCTCAAACATGGCCCTCAAGTCAGAATTTCATGCTGATTTCACACTTTGGGTTGATGTAACTGCTGATCCATGGCGAATTAGATGTTGGTCCTTGAAAAGAAACTGTAGATGGATAGTAGGCCTACATTTTTTGGGTACACAGTTTTTGCAAAGGAGCATTGGATTAGCCGTGTTGACACGTCGAATACTCGCTGTCAGTCATCATCCTCGAGCACTGAATCGCCATTTTTAGAAAACGTTCAGCGAACGTCATGGCCGACCGGCGCAGGAGCCGCTCGCCGCGTGGCGTTCATGCTCGGACGAAGCCTCCACGTCACGCGTTCGACCTCCAGAAGAAGGCCAGCGCCTGCCCGAACGCACTCGCCTGCTCCATTGCTTCTCTCTCGCCTCCACCGCACGCAGCGCCGAGCCGCAGCAGCTTCCCCGTTTCCGACCTAGTGTCGCCGTCGTCGTGCGTGCTCGCCACCGAGAAAACACATTGCCCCGTTCGCCCAGAGCCTCGCCGTGATCCCCTCTACCGCCTCCACCGTTCAGTCGGTCCATTTGAGCCTTGGTAAGGACGAATTCGTCGTTTCTTCCACCGCCGCCATGGCTGACCTCGCCGGAGTTAGCGCTCCATGTGGCCAGCTATCCTCGCGCCCTTGCCATCCCTCCTCTGCCTTGCGCTAGGTCCAGTGCATGCCACTGATGCTCGTAGGCTCACCCTTTCGAGCCGTGGTGCCTTAGTCTCGCCGGAGCCGGCCATGCCGTGGCCGTGCGCCGCCATGCTCGTCGCCAACCCTGGTAGCCGCAACAATAGCATCGATTGAGGACACCACTAGATGCGCACGGGCAAGGCGAATGTCGTAGCACCGCTGACCTCGCCGGAGGAGCCACCGACGATGAGTTGCGCCGCCGTCTCCTTCTCCTCCCCTATCTGTCTCTCTGTTGCGCGGGTCCCGCACGTCAGTCGTCGTGCCGAGGGCGGGAGCCGGACCTGGGCTGCGCCGTGTCTGGGCCGCGCTGGCGTCGCTTGCGCGTGTTTGTGGGCCGCCGTTTCTTCGGGCCGGCCCACCAGTAGTTGAATTGGTTTCCTTAATTTGTTTTGTTTTATTATTTTCACTGATTTGTATATAGATTCAAAAATATGTATCTCTTAGATGGTAGATCCAAATGATGTGATTCTAATTTTGTTGAGTTCATGACAATGTCTAGTTTCTATTAAAAATATAATCCATGTCATATTCTGTTATGAAAATAGGAGTTTCTATTTATCTCTTTTAATCATGCAAGAAATAGGGGTAATTATATCTTTTTCTAGGTAGCTCCAAATGGCATGAAATGTTTATGGTGTACTGCTCATATCATGAATAGCTTGTAGTTAAATTTTCATAAATTTTGGACACTGTTTGGAGGAGATAGAAAATTATCTTGTTTGCATGGATGGATCTTGTGTGAATTTTCATAATTTTGCTATAAATCCAGTTAGGGTAAAAATTGGTGAGTACTATTCTTATGCTAGAATGATGCTAGGAAAAATTATAAATCTGTTGCTTGACACTTTTCAATAGGGTTTCCTAATTATGCTAAAAATAGACATGCTACCTGTTATTTTGGATACAACAAGTTCTGCTTACCCAATGGCTTTGAAATTTTTATGGTAGTCTATGTGAGGCATGAGATAGCTACTATAATTTTTGTTGATTTTTCTGAATAGTTTTACTATATATTGCTTTAATCACCTAATTAACTAAAGAAATTAGAAAAGGGCATTAAATAAATTGTTTATAAGTTGGCACTAGACTTTCTGATGTTTCTTTGGTATACAAAACATGTTGGTAAACTTGGTTTGGTCCAATTATGCTTTTGCATCATCATTAAATAATTAATTTAGTAACCCTGTTATTTCTGAACAGATTCTAGGTTTACTGGAATTCGATTTGGTTAACATAAGAATCATGCTTTGATGTTTACAA